TATACTCCATCCCATCCGAGTCCTCACCAACCCAAGAGCGCCCACTCTGCCAAGGCCGCGCCCTGAGCAGGCCACATCGCCCGAATAGAATTCATTGTCCAAGCAGCGAACAACCTCCTCACTTCCTGCTGCGCGCTCTTCTCCGCCTTCTCCCCCTGCACCTCCGACTCCTTCATCGCCGCATATGCCTGCAGCCTCGTGTTCATCGGGAGCATCGTTCCCAGTGTCCAGGGGATGATGCCTACTGTCGCTGCTCCAGCGAGGGCGTAGAGCGCCGCTAGAGAGCTAGTGAAAGGCCCGCCGAGGGAATAGGATATGTACACGAAGAGGAGGGAGAAGAAGAGCCCGATAAAGGGCGCACTGAGCTTGCCTCGGTCGTAGAAGTCTTCCCACTGCCGTGCGGCGAGCAGGGGGGGCGCGAGCGCGATATGCGGGATCCCGACCGAGAAGGTGGTGATGTACCCTGGGAAGAAGTGAGTGGGATTCGAGAGAGTGGCTATAGAAGAGGAGCGCACCGGAGAGGAAAGCAGCGCCGGCGATGGCAAATACCTGGAGGAACGGGACGAGTTCGAATGACATCTTGCATGTAGTATGGGATATGGATGTTCAGTACAGTCTCGTTAAGAGTTACCGCAGGTGCGGGCTTTGTCGCTCGAGTGAAAGTTATGATTTGCTGATTTGATGATTTGCTGAAGATGAACCAAGCCCGGATGCGCGTATTATATCCCTCCAACGACCGGCGCTACCTCGCCGGCACCGTCATCCTTGTATGACACAACACAACCGATCCTGCACCGGCGCAGCTCTGTTTCTCCTTCCATGGCTGACACTGGGCTCGCAAGAGGTAGGGTCAACCAGGCCCTCATGATTCGTATTCGTGAGCGTGATATCCCACTCACGGGAGTACTTGAAGAGTTGCTGCAAGCTGGCGAGCTGGCGCTGATCCGCGTTTGACAACCCTCCGGCTAGGACATCAGATTGAGAGAACCTACACGACGTATTATCAGCTCCCCTCAGTGCGGCAGCCTCTCTCTCTGTGTGTGAGTGAGTGAGCGAGCCGGTCCTCATCCTGCGAGTGTGCGACATACAGTAGCGTGAAGTGTGCGCCCGGAGCCCACGACGGTGTCATGTGACCTTCCTCTGTCGTGCACTCTCCACCAGTACCAGTACCAGTATCAGTGTCAGTACTAGCGAAGACAGAACTCGCAGGAATCCTCGAGTGCAGGATGAAGACCTCTGCGAAAACCCGAATCGAGTCGCAGACTCTCGCTCGAGCGTTCACGCCATGCATAAGAGCTGATATACCGCACTTTTGATACGCAGGAGTACTAGTGTCAGCTGGGCGCGTTTATGTATGCTCGGACGGCACCGGCTGATGTTTGATGCATCTTAACTTTTTTACGGCGATGGAATCACATGCTTTACAAGATCGATGATGGCACGAGGCTGTGCCTTGATCCGCCGATGTCGATAGACCATTTCTTCTTCTATTTCCACTTTACAGGTCGCCTTATACGTATACACTCGTCCTTCATATTCTCCGACTTGTCACTATGTCGAATTTGTTTCGCTTTCGACAGTGATCGGACTATTCAAGTTGATCGTCTCCTTCTGACAGTACTAGTGCAGAATGAATAGCCCGATCGACCTCAAGCGATCAGTTCTGATCCGGGGGATCGCCCTGAGGCCGCGGAAGGATTTTCTCGGACTTGCACTCCGACTACTGTATGTCGAACTCGGGCTTGCAGACTGGGGGGGACGGCTGTTCGCCATCCTCGGGCAGATCTCCATCTACGTCGCTCTATTGCACATGCGAGCAGTTCGGCATTCACCCAGCGCATGATCTATGCTACGGCCGTTGGATCAGAACGGTCGCCGTTCCTGCAAGATCTGACGACGCTTCCCCGTTTGTCCGACAAACGCTGTCTACGTACGTCGGTGGCAACCCTCTTGCTTATTCTTCTCTCGGCACATCAGACTGAAGCTTGCTTCGCGTCGCGATCCACCCTCGCGGGTTAAGATCTTTCCCGGACTAATGGGTGTGCACCACCTGGTGTGGCTATCCTCTTCCTAGGTAGCGCAGAACATGAAAGAGGACGAGTACTGCATACGTAAGTGAGCATACAATAAAGCCCCCCAGGGTGTGCACACCCGACAGACTCGATCACGCCCATGGATACAACACGTCTCGAGCTTGGCCCTCCGCCAACTAGCATTCTGGACAAGCAGGAAATCGAGTCATCGGCTACTCCTTCCCGATCGGACTTGAGTGTTGGGCTGCCCCCGGTAGACGGCGGGCTCCAGGCCTGGATCTTTGTCGGTTCCGCTACGGCGTTAGGTACGACACCGACCCGTTCTGTCTCACTTTGTTGGCTGACCCCTGTGTTAGAGACGTTCGTTTGGGGGATCGAGTCGCCTTTGGCACTTATCAGAATTATTATACCTCGTCCAATGATTCCCCGATTCTGGGTTCTAGCATTTCTTCCGTCGCGGCGATCGGGACGACCTACCTGGCGACTCAGGTCCGTTCACATACCTCAGATTCAGATGTCGAACTCGCATTGATGACGTTTAGTACATCCTCGGCTTCCTGCTCATGCCCCTGCTTAAGCGGTATCCGCAGCACGTACGCTTAGCTCTCTGGGTTTTCCTCGCTATCGAATGTGTGAGTCTTATCAGCGCCAGCTTCGCGACCCAGGTCCGTCCCCTCCCTACCCTTGTTACCCGGCGTCCTCTTACTCTCACATCCAGACCTGGCACCTCATCCTCCTGCAAGGAATCATCCCCGGAATCGCCGGAGCAGTATTCTACGGCCCTGCACTCCTGTGGCTCTCCCAATGGTGGGTAGAACGCTGCGGCCTCGCATGCGGGATCATGTTCTGCGGCACCGGAGCGGGGGGAGCGATCTTCCCCCCTATAATCGGTGTCTTGCTCCAGCATCTCGGGTTCCGGTGGACACTTCGGATCTGGGCACTGGCGTTCACGTTGGTCATGGCTCCTGCTATATACTTTATGAGGCCGCGGTATCCGCCGGCTAGGCTGAAAGAGGGCGACGATAGGAAGATCAATTGGTCGCGGTTTGTCAATCCTGTTCTTGCGGTTGTGGTGAGTGAAAACATGTACTTCTTCCATGTTGCTTTCTTTTTACTGACAATGATAGTCCGCAAGCGTATTCATACAGGCGCTTGGCTATTTCCCCGTGTCGATCTACATCCCTACCTACACTACCTCCCTCGGTCTGCCGCCGCTTGACGGGCAACTCGTTTTGTCTGTGTTCAACATATGTACCCTGATTGGTATGGTACTCGCTGGAAATTGGATTAATTTCTGACTAAACTGTGCACAGGACAAGTATTCCTAGGATGGCTCTGCGACAAACTCCACTTCCACGCAGCCATCATCGTAGCAGGTATCGGCTCGACACTATCAGCGTTCTTGATCTGGGGCTTCGCGAGCAACCTGGGCATGATCTTCGCTTTCGTGATCGTGTTTGGGTTTACGGTATGCCTTCTGATATACATGACTTGGATATGGATGCTGACGCGCGTAAAGGCTGGCGGTTTCTCATCCATCTTCGCACCCGTAGGTGCTGCCGTATTTGGTAAGTGTCAACTCGTTTCTCCCGCACATGATCGCTCAACTTACGCAGGTTCTGATCAGCTCTCGGCCGGGGTCATACCCGGATACCTAGGGGCTCTACGAGGCGTCGCCGCTATCATCGGCCCGATCGTTTCTGCAACCCTGTACACGCCTGGCGAACCCCCGCTTTCGGGCATATACGGCATGTATGGGTTTGGGAAGATGCAGATATTTGTGGGTGTCATGACTGCTGTTACTGTTGCGGGTGGGATCGGGTCCTGGGCATTTGCGAAGGCGGAGATGCGCCGTGGGAGAGTGGAATAGAAGGGGACGAAAAGAAGGACTGTCACTGTTGTACAAAATGCCAAGAGAGGCTTTAATGAATCATGATCATAGGATAATTTAGTTCCCAAAGTTCTCAGCTGTTGAACCTAGAAATGGATCCTGGCAGTGTGTGAACTCTGCTGCCCCAGCCCGGTCTCCGGAAAGCACACGTTGATGTTCGGAGATATCTGGCGCTTATATCCGTACGCTGTCCGGCTCGGTACCGACCCCAACAACATGTCTTCCTTCTTAACCATCGTCCTCTACGTGGACTTTCAACGCTGTACTATGACTTTCTTAGCTGAACTTGATTTATCATGTTTGTACGCGGATGGACAGAAGAGTTAGGATGACGTGTACGGGATTGGTGGTGATGAACGTTCTCCCGACCTCGATGACAACTCCGGCATCCGACGCTGGGCATTTACGATTTCTCTGTGCTGGCCACTTTCACGACTGGATAATGTGTTCATCCTATAGTCTGAGCGATGAGAAGATCATAACTGCAGTCGTTTCTCAGCGTATCGTTATCCTAGGTGCGTCCGCTCGTTGCTGCCATAAGCCTTGTCTCACACACGAGGGCAGGCTACTGTTGTTTGAAAGTCAAAAAGTATTGATACTGATTATCTGCCTGCGGACGAAGTGCGCGACTGTTACATTTTCTGAGTGAACGAAAGAGACAACACAACAATAACCCATGCCAACTGGCGCCCGAAAGTTGCGGTTCTTTGCGCGCCTCCAGGGTAGAGAGATTTCAGTCGACCATCCATGTCCGTCGCTCATGGTCGTTCCTCCTCAGTTAGGTAATCCGTTTCTTTCAACTGTTTCATCCTCATCCCCTGCCCGTCCTCCATCTCCATCAGTTCATCTCTGTTATCATCTCGGCGGTACATCCATTCTTGATGGACGACGATGCTGCCCATGAGCTGGCTGGGTTGGGAACTGGATTTGTCGTATGTGAAGTGCCCTGTTTGCTTAGCCCGACACGGACCATGATGAGGAAGAAGCTAATAGAGGTGATAGGGGATGTCTACAATTCTTTCGGTGAGCACATGCATGCGCAATGATGAAGGAAACTACTGACAACCTGGTTCAGGAATAGGAGCGCAGGACTCTGCAGTACAAGGGCAACAAGATATGCAAGTAGGAAGACCATGTACACACTCCCGCTCTCGACGACGATCTTGATCACAGGCAGCAAACTTGCGTCGCCTTTCGCTTGCCGACTGGCTCTGTCGATCGTCCATATCCGATATGTGATCAATCCCATTGCGACCGTCGTTTGCGAGAAACTGAGTACGACAGTCGCGATCGTCCAGTTGTCTTCATCGATCAAGATGCCGATGTTGGTCTGGTCGCCCATGTATGCAGCTTGGAGCTGAACAGTGCGTATGCTGCAAGCTGCATTCGGCTGTTAGTATTATCATGCTGGCGCCTGTATGCGATACTGACCGATTGTCCCAAGCCATAACAAGACGTTAAAGGCAGCGAACTGCCAGCGTCTTCCCCATACCATCCAGACGCGATACAGCTGCCAGACGCGTCAGTCATGTCTTCTGCTGTCAGCACCAGCGACCTACCATGATCCCATCGCCGATGATAATGACGAAGAGCGCGATCGAGCTCTCCGCGACCTGCACCGGATTCCCAACATTCTCGAAGTATATATCCTTCCCCATGCCCGGGGTATACAAGAGTCCGATAAGGATATGGTTGCATTCTAGGACGATGCTCGTCGTGGTTATCGCGAAGAGCAGCACGCTCGCAACGGAGAGGAAGATGTTGACACCTCGATTTCGCCGACTCCACATGATGTTCAACGTCATGTAGAAGAGCGCGACTGACAAGCCTGTGTGTCATGTGAGTTCCTCTGCCTGACCCGAAACGCCAACTCATCGCATACCATAGAGTGCAGTCGCGGTCCAGTTGCCAATTATTGTGCTGAACGTGAATGCCCCTGTCGTGTCTATCAATGGGATTTCAGTGGTAGACGCGGCGTCGCCAGCTCCGCTTGCCATAGTGGGGTCCTTGAAACAATACGGTTGGATTCAACTCTTGACTGGGACGAGAAGTTGTACCTTTCTGCAGGCCGCCCTCTTCCACCACTCTCAGCGGACGAGCGGCGATTATCCCTCGGAAGGACGAACAAGCGCTCCCCTATTGGGCATGATAGGGCACATCTCGAGCGTCTACGCAGGCTGGCCTCACAACCATGGGTGGGTTTGTTGCTCTTTCCTAGATGAACAATTGGGGTACGAATCATGTGTCTCTTGCCGCTCGCGGGGTGAGCGCGAAGCACGAGTTTACTACCAACTATCGGAACCGCCCGGTTCTGGACGGAAGAAATCCTATATAGGGCCATCAGCGCTTGCGCTCGAGGCTGTGTGCCTGAACAGGAGGGCAAGTACTAGTGCCCTATCCGAGTGGGTTCCGGTAGAATGGTGCATGTGGCGTAAATCTGTATAGCTGAGGGTTGTCCTCTTTCTTCGAATGGAGAGGAGATCGCAGATTTTTCCAGAACTGGGGTTGAGAGCATCTTATTTTTTTCCGTTCCCACACGGGGGCTTTGGTGCCAGCACATGATATCTAAGCAATAATCGACCGAGCTCCTCTGCGCGTCTATGGATTTGTTGTTTTCTAGAAATCCACTTGTCAAGACTACTTCATCCTCATCTACTTCTCCAGATGGGTCTACGCAAATCTCCGCATCTCACTCCATCCCCTGAACAGCAACTCTGCAGTCGATGGAAACAGTTCTCCTCTCGAAACCGAGCATCGGCTTTTGCACATGTTGGGTACGATAGACGCCGGACTGACGCAGCATCACGAGGTTGGAGTTGGCTTCCGGATGACAGGTAGTCGGCAATCACTGGTGCTTGTGTGCGGGAGAGCATATGCAGCCCGACTCTCTTCCAAAAGGGCGTAGATACGGAATCGGTATATTATGAGAATATCATATGAATACGAGGAGCAGTCGCAAAAGCGGCGTGATCAGCGTTGAGAAACTGTGTCGGACTTAATGTGGTCTTTTATGTCCGACGGTGTCTGGCGCGGTCAAACGGCTGATGTCCGAGCTTGATGTTGTCTCTTGGTCTGCCTCTAACGATGATGACTATGTCTCATGCTATTTATCAAGCTTTGTACGCGCATATGTCTTGTCTCAAACATAGATCGGAAGTGACGCATCTGCTGCGTCATGGCACCTCTTCATGCTTTGTTTATCCTCGTCTGACGTCTGGTTTGGGCGCATACATCTGCCCCTCGAGCACAGCTAGTCAACGTCCATGTCACTCCGTCCATCAGCGCATAACAGCACCCCCCCACCCTCTCCGGGTGCTCCTACATTCCCAGCCCCAGCGGGAGGGAAGACCCGTCACGGGAGGCACAAGTACAAGCAGTCCACCCTCGTCCCCACCGACGCTCCACCTCCTTACGCATCCTCTCGAACGCTCTGGCCTCGCAACTGGATCAAAGCCGGTGTGGGGAGGAAGCGCTGGGCACGACCTGCGATCCTACTCGGGGTCATTCTCTTCCTTTTGTACAAACTACGGTCTCCCTCCGACTCTAGCACGTCCCACGAAGGGCTGATGCAGCGGTACACACCCGTCCTACCTTGGGTCCAGCGACAGTCTTTACCTGCTGAAAGACCTTATTGGCCTGACCCTAACGCGCTTGAGCACGCCGAAGACCCGGACGAGCTGGAAGACGAGTTGGGAAGTAGAGTATTCTCCAAGCCTGGGGAAGGGGTGGACGAAGACCCGGATACGGACGAGCTTGCCGTTCCTGTGCCTCTCCCTGGATTACGTGGCACCCTTCTACCCGGTATGAGGGAGGAGAAGCCAGAGGACCATTTCTGGCTACCCAATGGATTGTTGGCAGTGAACCCGTACGGCAGGCATCCGGTGTATGACTTGATTAGCTGGGCAGAAAAACAGTGGGAGGAGAAGTTACGCAGGCAGAGTAGGACTCTGGAGCACGCAGTGGGTGAGTATAGGCACAGGTATGGGCGGAAGCCGCCGAAGGGTTTCGACAAGTGGTGCGTGGAAGGATTGGTTGTAGATGGAGCTGACCGGTATAACAGGTGGGCCTACGTTGAGAGGCATAACATACAGCTTCCGGACGAGTATGATCAGATACTTGCCGATCTGCAGATGTTCTACGCATACACGCCTCGTTCTCTCCGCCGACTGCAAGCACTAACCCGCACCACGCCAGCGACGTACACCCTCTCCGCATCCTCTGCCCTCGGCAGTATCGCACTCGCCACGGCCAACCTGGCCGAAGGGAGTGAGCGTGAGATCGGGATGATACGCGCCAAGGCTCAGCTGGACATACTCCAGGGATTTGGGGAGACGTGGACTGACGAACTTACCGGTGAGAAGACGAACGTCGCTAGGGAGATCGTACTTGCTACGGGTGACTGGGAGGCCACGTTCGGCGCTGGGGATGTACCAATGGAGTTTGCTGATTGGGAATTGTACAATGAGAGGCGCGTACGGGCGCGCGCAGGGCAGAGTGAGTCGCTCGTTGAGGGTGCGAGTAGAGGGTGCTGATATACTACAGCGATGGACGTCTTCAAGCGCGGGGATATGACTTACCTCGGCTGGGGCGGGGCGTGTCCCAACAGCTCGCCTCTACGGAGATCTCCTCCCCCTCCACCGCCCGTCCCCATCCCCGCCCCTCATCCAAAGACGTTCATCTACTCACACAGGGAGTCGATGAACCCCTGCACGCACCCCGAGCTCGTGCACACCGTCGGCTTCCTCTCGGGGCACTATGACCGTGGTCCTGGTCCGCAGGAAGCCCACCGGCTCCTCTTCGGCATGTGCAAGACCGAAGGCTTGCATGGGGATGTGCTCACCGTAGCGAGCGAGATGTGGACTGAGGACGTAGGCTTCGACCCTGCTTGGGAGAACAAGACTGACGAGAGGATCGTCTGGCGGGGTTCTAACACCGGCATCCTTGCCAACCCCCACACACCCTGGAAAGCCAGCCAAAGAGTGCGCATGGTCAGCGTGCTCAATAACCGTACTGGGTCGCAGGGTGTCCTCCGGCCTATGGGGGAGAGCGAGCCTGTGGGAGAACCGGTACTACGCAGGCATAGCTGGCTCAACAGCGTGCTTGCGGATGTGGCGTTCACCAGGGAACCGATACAGTGCGAAGCTGGCGCGTGTGAGGAGATGAGGGAGATGTTTGATTGGAGGGGGATGCGTACCCAAACCGAGCTGAACGAGTACAAGTACATCCTTGACGTGCGTCTCACCTCACCCGCATCGGAAATCACTCATACCAGATTGGAACAGGTGGACGGGAACGGCTGGTCGGCACGATTCAAACGGCTCTTGACGACACGCTCTATGCTCCTCAAAGCTACGATCTTCCCGGAATGGTATATGGATAAGATTCAGCCCTGGGTGCATTATGTACCGCTCAAGATGGACTTTAGCGACCTGTACGACGTGCTAACGTTCTTCCGGTGCGTGCGCACTCGTTTCGGGAAGTTAGACGGGCTGACAGGCTGGGTAGAGGGGACGTGGCGAAGGGTGGGGAGGGGGCACATGATCATCTCGCGCAGAAGATTGCCGAAGCAGGGCGGAATTGGAGTCTGACAATGTTCCGCAAGGAGGATATGGTGGCGTATCAGGTGCGTGCCTGTGTCTGAACGCGGTTGAGGTTGGCTGACGTTTGCTCATTGCAGTGGAGATTGTTCTTGGAATATGGAAGACTTGTGAGTGAGGATAGGGAGAACATGAACTTTGATTACTAGTGGGTTACTTTGGCGGTGCCTTTCATTTTCCGTTGTAGACAACTGAGGTCATGAATATACTTTTGCTGCGACTGAACGCTCTCAGTTTCGCCCGATTATGTGCGAACGTGAACCCTGGAGCTGGACCCCCGCGATTTCCGGCATTCATCCACGATTCGACGATCATGGGACGTCACGTTCAAATGGACGGGCGCCTGTTCCGACGTCATTTGAACACCAACTATCTCGAGAATGAACGTGGCTGACTTGCTTCAAAGTATAATCTCTATCCTGCAAAAGATCGAACGGCAAGCGCGGGAAGTGCGCCACCAGACTGCAGAGTGCCTCCTCGTCGCCGCTCGCGCCCGGCGCCTGCTGGAGGAGGTAACCGCGCTCCTGTCGGACGAAACAAGATGCAAGTCCTTAGATGTTGAGGACAACCTGCGCAAAACGGAGGAGTGAGCTCCTACCTTCCTTTCCCGAGCTTGCGAGAGCTGTTCCTAGGGCATATCGACGTGTGCTCGACGAGCTGGCGTTTGTTGGAAAATCCGGCAGTGGGCGGTTTGGATCTACGGATACGGGCAAGGCGGTGGAGCATGCGAATGAGCAGATCGATCTTGTTAGCATAATTTGGAGGGTGAGTTTTGATGATAGGGAATGACCTGGCCGATGCTGAACTCTGCTGGTACAGCTGGAGCCGGACCAGTCCAAGGAGGCGGCGACGGTGGTGCCTGTCGTCCCTAAGCAACTTTCCAAAAACGAGTACGTTCGCGTCCTTCCTCGCCCATTATTGGCCTTGATGAGGTTCCAGACTTCTTGCACAACGAGCCGCTGAGCTTGAAGGCCCCGCCTCTACCTACGTAAAGGATCATCTCTGGATAGCCTACGGGCTCTCGCAAGCCGATGCGTACAAGGCTGCCGAATCTCAACTTCAGACCGCCTTCAACATGTACAACAAAGCTGCATCGAACGGGCTGCAAACCTTCGGCGTCGCGCGCTGCCAGCTTCGCCTTGGCCAGATCGCGCTCAAGCGACGCGAGGTCCCCTCTGCGATCTCCCACTTTGGAGAGGCGAGAGGTATCTTCCAGGCGTTCAAATTCGATCCCGGAACGGCAGAGGCACTCGAAGGGCTGGCATTTGCGGATTGGCTGAGGTACAAGCTGCCGGAGGCCAGAAAGCACGCCGAGTGGTCGCTTAAGTTGAGAGAGGCGCAGCCCGACCAACTCGTCATCTCACGCAGTTTGATGCTGCTCGGAGACTTAGACAACACTGAGTTCCATGTTCAGGAGGCCGAAGCACGGTATACTCGAGCGTTGGAGATTAGGCGGGGGCTCGCAACTGAGCGTCCGCTTGCCGAATGCCTCGATAGCCTGAGCAAACTGTATGCTGGAAGAGGCGAGCTGGATCGAGCGGAGCTGATGCTTAAGGAGTCATTGAAGCTGAAGACCGACGTGGACGACGAGATCGGCTGCGCTGTGACGCAATTCTCGCTTGCTAAGATCGCCTGCCGCAGAAATCAGATTCCCGATGGGATACAGTCTATGGAGAAGGTCCTAGCGGCTGCCCGGGAGGAAGGCAACAAAGAACTCTCAGGTTCTGTTCTGCTCTTTCTTGGATTCGTCAATCGACAACTGGGGAAAACAGAACTCGCCAGAAATCACCTTGAGGAAGGAACGAAGATTTTCCTCGAGGAACTCGGCCATCTCAAACTGCTCAAGTTGATGGCAGTCGCTGGATTGACGATCCTTGCCAGCATTGATGTGAAGGAAAATAGGCTCACTAAGGCGGAAAAGTGGATCCACCTAGCTCAGGATTTGGCCGACAACACACGCTCCAAACCCGCACTGCAAGCCGTGTACGCTGTACGGTTGGAGTTGTGTTCTGCACAAGGGAATCACCGAGAAGTCGAGAAGATGGAGAAGAAAATAGAGCAGCTCAAGCAGGAGACCGGCAACGTGCTGATAGAGTTTTCGCTACGATCGTTCCTGCGTACTTTCGGGTGGTTCTAATATTGCACCGTCCGGTTGTCGGCGGAGATTGTACATACCACTGTCCTTCGAATCATGTTTCGCCAATGGATAACTGCCCAATAATGCCGAGTCATATGGGCGTTCGATAAGGCGGCCTAGGCCGCTCAACCATTGTCACGTGAACTATCTCAACAGGCGCATCGCAAAATCACACGACCCTCAAGCCTGTAACTCGAGGAAATCCAAGCCATCTCTAGCCGGATATGCCACCCGACTCCCCGATGAACGCGCTCTCAAAGTCACTGGCTGTATATGTGTCAAACGCAACTGCCTGTTCCGAACAACCACCGCGTTCCTTGAAGATGGTTCAAGCCGGATGTACCCCGTATCCCACCTTGGGTGATTCGGTCTTGGTCCTTCCCCCCAAACGGCTGATTCCGCCCCGAGACGACTGTGCGGCACCGCTCCTCTTAGCTTCATCAGAATGAATGAACCTTCTATGACTGGTACGCTCCATATCATCCGATATACCGGGGAATGGAGCAGATGCAATACAAGGAACAATTCTCCTTGCCTGTGTGCTATTCATGTGGGTGATTGCTGGAAACAGCGACTCATAAGGGGAATCCCGCTAGTATTAGACGAACAAACACCGAGCAAAGGAAAACGGTGGTACAAGGAATCGTCATCTTGCTCCGTATAGACTGGAATCGGACCACATCACGCGTGCCCACGCAGGGGTTGCCCTAGCTTGGCTGGGGCAGCATGAACCACAAAAGAGTCATCGGAAAGTTGGAGCTCCGGACATGAACCTGTTGCGGTTGGGTGAGGAGCGCGATTATCCGGAATGTTGGGTCCTTGGCAGTGTCAGTCATTGTCACCTGGTAGGGGCCAGCAGAATAACGCCCGAATAGGCATTGGCGGTTAATGCTCCATCTTCGGGAACGCGAAACCAGTGCCATGATGATGATCCTCGAATCGAAACAGCGAGAACGGGCTTCCTCACCAGTCAGGCATGTTCAAGTGACATATCAGGTCGGACGGTATCGACCAAGGCCATGGACAGGAGATAATCTACACGATGCCGTTGGCCTGCAGCCTCGTGTACAGCAAGCAGCCTGGCCGCATGGGTAACGTGGGGCCGTGTTCTCCTTTGTGGCTGTGATTGTCTTCCCCAGATCGACCCTTGTTTGGTTCTTCGGCCGCACGAAAGGCTAATGTGGCGCAGATCGCCTCTCGACATCATACAAGCCACCTTGAGGGATTAACTCAACAACGACTGGTCTGAATTACTGAAGCTTGGAAAAGCTCAGAAGCAGCTATTTGTTCGGCTGGTTCCTATGAGCTCCTCACCGCTTTGCTGGATGGGGATGAAGTCGAAGGCGACGAGGTGGCTCCCAACCATTGTGCTGCACTGCTACAACATCCGAAAGGCAGTCCGGGCAGACTTAGAATCTGGGAGATATCATATCAACCTCCTTCTATATCCGCGCCAATGTCGATCGGAAGGCTTGTTCTCTCCGGCAGTCCAGGATTTAGCCCTTCCAGATGACCCTTGCTTTCTTGAAACCCTTGCGCTAGAAGCACTGTAGGACCTCCCGCTGCACGTTCACATGCTCGAAATAGCAACTATGAGCATCCCATCATTAAGTATTCTACATCGGAATAAACTTTTAGTGGGGCACCAGTATGGTCGGCGGTCCATGTCTGGTTGCTCCTCGCTCAGGTGACTCTTGGAGGTCGTCACACTTCGGTTTCCAGTATAGTGCTGAAGATACGAACGGAGCACTTCATGTCTATTGGAGCGAATACGACTCTCAGAGATGTATAAATACAGGGCATTTTGGCCTGGTCGTCCCCCCATCGAGCACTTGAACCCACACCTGCCATCCAAGCCTCACTCAATCACTCGAACTTCAACTCACTCATCATGGCCTCCAACCTCACCCAGACTCTTTCTTTCGGTGTGCACGAGGGTGCTGCCTTCAACGATGCTACTACCCGTGAGTCCCACGAACCGCTCAGCTGCAACGTGATTTTGTTAATTGGGGTAATGCGTAGTCGGTGGTTTCCCCAACACCCAGGGGATTAAGAGCATCAAGCAGATCCGCCTCATGGCTGGTAAGGCCTCAATCTTCTATGAAAAAATGAGAATTCAACTCCTATGCTTTCTATCAGGCTGGTTGATCGACGGCATGGAGGTTACTTACCAGATGAACGACGGCAGCACCAAGGCCGACAACCACCTCGGCACTGGCAAGCCCAATGTTACGATCAACTTCAACGGTATGTTTGCAAACACATTCGGTAGATTTGATTTCTAACCATATCATAGACGATGAGGTTCTCGTCTGCGTTACCGGCAAGACCACTTTGCCCGGCTACTACCAGAACAAGCCCTACCTGTGCTACCTGAAGTTCGTCATCGTGAACACTGCCAGCGGCAATATCCGTGTGGAAGGTAAGGCAGATCAGTTCTCCACTGTCATCCGTTGCTGAGACTCGTCGTAGGTCCCTTCGGCAATGGCGCTGGTGACGCCAAGTACACCGGCAAGACATTCTCCGTCGCTGGCCCCATCCTCGCCTTCGCTGGCCAGTCCATCTCCGGCAACGAGCCCGCCAACGCTCTGACCCTCTCTTTCCTCAAGTCCGAGCAGCTCGCTCTCGGCAAAGGCCTCCAGTGAGTACTATGTGCTCTTGTTTTAAATTAATAAAGTCGGAAAAATCCGACAAGGTTGTCCTGCGAATATTTTGAATGTGTAGCTTGCTCCGGCTTCCGTACCAGTTCTATGCGGTAGTTTGTCAATCCAAGTGAAATTGTCCACCATATCATGTCCGCCTTCTCGTACGACACTTCAAAGCAGCATAGCCAACAGCGATACACGCCATCTGGGATGTTCGGAGAGACCGTTCAAGAGGAAGAAAGAACGTTTCTGTAATTGTGGCGCCCGATGAACGCGTCAAGCCGTCTTAATGATGTTTCACCCCGTATTCATTACTGAGCAGCCATCAAAAATACAATTATCGACGCTTTGATGCTATTATCTTGTCATGACAAGCACGGGAAAGTCGTTCGTCCATTGGATTTTTCTCCAGAAAACGAAGTATTTCCAGTGGCTGTGTCATGCAGGGGTCAATCTTTCAACTACCAACACCCACTTGCACATCAACATCCACTCAGCAATACCCATGCTGTTTCCTCACCGCCTATTCTCATAGCACTCGTATCGGGACACGCCATGGCAGACAATCCCACGACGCATCTCTGTGTTCAGATACTACAAACTTTCTTCGGCGGACCGTGCTATGAAATTGGACGCGTCTTACTGTCTCGCGGGCGCCTGCCTTTGCCCTTAATCGCCCGACTCACCAGACTCAAGCCGAGAACTGTGCGCGCCTGTTTAATTGTATTGATTCAACACAACGTTGTTTGGTTTGCAGAGAGCGATGGAGAAGACGGAGAAGGACCTAGAGGCGATACTTTCTATGAGGTGAACGTCGAGGAAGTATGCATGCGACTGAGGTTCGGAAAGTTTGTTGAGATTGCTGCAGACGTGTTCGGGGATGAGGTGCGTAGTCATGACCTAACGCAATCTATCATTTCTGATAATAGACAGGCGAAAGATATCGTTAGATGTATTCTAGATCACGGCAAATTACGACTCCCTGCTGTACTCGACTTACTTGAAGTCAATGCCCCTAAAAGTACGGTTACTCCTGTTTTCGAGTTACTTGGCTCATCTGTGTCATTACAGAAAAGATCTCTCATCGATCAACGTTTCATGCTCTCGTCACTTCTCGCTATCTCATGCCCACATCTCGCCTCCTGCATACCTCTCCAAAGGACAAGATCATAGCATGGGAAGAAATCGAGAAGCGAAAACTCAAAGAGATCCCATCTGCCAAAGTGTTAAGGAGCATTCGTGACGGCGTTGAAGATAGGCTTAGAACGGAACGAGAGGGTCAGACCACCGGCTTGAAGCGAAAACCCATCACGACAGGTGGCAAGGGACGAAAGAAACCACGTCGAGATGATGAGGACGAGGAAGTAGTTGATGAGGATGTCTGGTTTAGAGTGAACTACGAGAGGTTCAACGTTCATTTGCGAGACACAGTATGCCTTGCGCCACTCAATTGAAGATGTTTCTATCTGACTGTCCTGAATATAGCTCCTCGCAACTGGCGCTGCGGAGCGATACAACCCTTCCTTCGGTGCCGTGATGAGTGCTCTTCTCGAAGCTGCTATGTCGGTCCCGAATACTCACCCTCGTCTGTCCGACGTCCGGTCGTCTCCCGTGTCCACGCCCACTCTCGCGACGTTTCTCCAAGGAGGCTCGTCGTTCGGTTCGAACGCCACATCTCGTGCTCCTCTACTGTCAGCAGGGCTCAAGCTTCCCTCATCTTCCACTGCCCCCACAAGCGCCCTGAAGCAGTATCTTCTCGCTCTGTCGGCCTCTGATAATCCAACGCCAGCAGGGCAGGCAGGGGCCTTCACCTCCAGATTTGCCGGAGGTGGAGGGGGGGAGGGCAAGGTGCAGGTGGAATTCGAGACGATCGCCGAGAGGATGCGGCGACGGCTCGTGGAGGGGTATGTCAGGGAAAGATGGGGTGACGGCGCTGGCCGAGTTCTTGGCGTACTTTGGGGCGGAACCATGATGGACGAGAGACAGGTCCGGACTCCATTATCATTCCGGAAATTCTCATTCACACAGCGCTCAGATTGCCAAAATCTCCTTGATGCAGGCCTCTGTTGTCCGAGCGGCTCTTACCGCCCTGCAGTCCGCAAACTTCCTTTCACTGCAACAGGTCCCAAAGACACCACAACGAGAACCTGCCCGATCCTTCTTCCTGTGGTATTGCGACCCGCAGAATTGCTATACATCGCTGCTCTCGACCCTGTACGGCACAATCGCCAATCTAATCGAACGGCTAGAGCGCGAGGAAGAGGTTGCCACGCGGGAGGTGGCTAGACCATGGAACGTTGCGCGTGCAGAGCGGTCCGCGGAGAGAGAAGGCATTAAGTCCGAGCGTGAACGAAAACGCGACCGAGTTTGGGGCGCGGTGGGACGTGCTGACAGGGGCGTGTTGGTACTCAGGGATCTTGTAGGTGGTACTGGATGGGGCACAGGCACAGGATTAGCCATCTAGTTACTAATCCATCACATGGGGCCAAATGGCACAAGGCGATGATGGTAACACTGAGAAAATTAGGCACGCGTTCTTCGACAGTTGTGCCTTCCTTAGATGTGCTTGCCAGATGCTGCCCAACTTTGTGCGAATGCACCATCATTGGACCCTTGACAAGAGAATCCGCCTGCGATTCTATCGGGGACCACCGGCCAACTATTCCTCGCTTACCAGCGCTCAACGGTCTGCGAAATCTCGGCCCGCAAGAGCGAATGCGATTCAGACCCTGAAGCACATCAATCTTCGATGTTGTCCATGAATAGGCTTGTTTTTCACCCCCGTTTCCACCGCAGGAACTAAGGGCGCGTTCAGTGCCAACTGGCACACATCAAGTTCTCAATTGTTGTCTTTGGACCAATTTCCGCCATATCAGAACTATTCTGGATAACTTGGTGATCCGGCCTCATTTCTCATCTGCATACAGTCGTGTCGGGCAGCGTTCCTCTGGAGACGGCTTGTTGATTTTGCAAATCTCTGCTTCCGTGTAGAGCGATACCACTATTAATGGCAGGATCTCCCCCTCTAAAATCTGGGAGTAGGCGACTTGTACTCTCAGACGATGGATTCGTCACCAAACTCGACGTTCATTCCTCCCTCCGTTCCTCTTGTCACGTCTGCCGGGCCTGGCACGGCGGCCAACAGCCTCGTTGGTGGGCTCACTGCCCTCGGCCTGTACGGTATGTTTACAGCAGCTTAGGCTTGGATGTTTTCTAACGGCCCTGCCAGGATTCTTCTGTGCCTTGTTCGGTCTGAGCATCCATATATTATTTCGACGCAGACAAGAACACGTTAACTACTTCCTCTTGACTGCCTCTGTCCTCATTTTCGTTTTGACCACCCTTGTTACGGTTCTGGAGTGCAATCGGCTTCTCCTTGGACTTCTGTTCACCCCGCCTGGCCTTACACCCGACATCTACTTTTCCGGCGCTGGGACATGGACGTACGCTCTGCAACTCAGTGGGTGCATGGCCAACATACTGGTGGCTGATGCTGTCATGGTGGGTGATGTCTTATTTTGTTGATGCACCATAACTGACACTGAGAAGCTGTACAGAGTTTGGGTGGTGTGGGGAAAGCGTTGGTCCTTCGTGGTGGTGAACGCAATTCTATGGTTTGCTACACTAGGTTCGCCACAGGACGGACAACCCTATGTTTCTCGCTAACGCCCTGACAGGGAGCGCAATCCGTGTTATCCAGTTGGAAGTTAATGGAGTTAGGAATCCTGTCGATTTCGCAAATCTACTCCTCCTCGCTCACTGGTCCACTGCTGTGCCGGCTCTCAGCCTCGGGCAAACAGTGATTGCCACGGCACTCATTTCTTTCAGACTATATCACGTAGAACGTTCCGTCGCTGGTGTCAGTCGCAAATCGCTATACCCAATTATGCGCATTGTCATCGAGTCAGGAGCGATTTACACGGTTCTCATGATCATTGAAACGGTGACACAAGCTGTGCCCAACGCCATCTCAGCGTCCCTTCTCTTCTTCCAGCTGGTGCGTTCCAATGCTCCTTTGTTCTATTCACTGGGACCACAAAGATGCTAATCGGGCACACAGATATCTCCCTGTATTGGCATTACCTTCTCTTTGATTGTCGTGCGCGTCGGCCTCGGCATTTCCAAAGGCACTCCATTGCCTAAAGGCAACGGTGGTTTCTCCTCGAATTCTGATCCAATCAATTTCTCCGTAAGGCGGACCGGCGATACGCAAGGAGGTGTTGCGTACGACGATGCTTCTATGTTGGAAGAAGGTGACGAGGGGCTGGAAATGAAAGGACTGGGCTCCTCTGGCAACGCCGTAAATCGCTACACCAGCCGCAAACTTACCTATTAGACAATCTGTATCACTTCGACTGTTTGTATCGGGTTCATGTAAAAAAATCCCCTTTTGTAAAGGGGAATTTAGGAATTGATTTTCATCGTGGGAACAAACACAGGGAATGGCGATCAGAGACAAGAGGCGAAGCTGACAACCGGTGCTGTTGGAAGCTGAGATTTCACCATCTCTTGAGACCTGCATTTCAGCCACGCATTCGGAGTTGAAAAAATCCCCCTTACAACATGATCTGAAAAAACAACTGCGACGTGTGTGGGGCAAGATTTTTTGAAACTGGTTATCCATGTTCATTGGCATTGGAAGTTGATGAGAGTTGTACGTGCAAACAATAGGGTCTATATACATTCAATTCAAAGTATCTGTTCACGCCGCTGTGGGAACAGGGACTGGGAAGGCCTTGTCCACAGGCGCCAGCTGTGAGCTATTCCAAAATCTGCGCGGGATCCCGCCTGCGCTTGGTAACCTCGTGCTATCGCTCATCAGGTATGCATCCACTTCGGCTGCCGCCCCACGACCCTCGTTGATACCCCACACAATGAGGGACTGGCCCCGACGGCAGTCACCGGCCGCGAAGACACCAGGCACACTTGTAGAGTACTTCTTCTGCGGTGTAGAGATATTGGACCGCGCATCTGTTTTCAGGGCGAGAGAATTGACGAGCGCTTGCTCTGGACCAAGGAAACCGAGTGCGAGGAAAACAAGTTGCGCTGGGAAATACTTCTGCGAATCAGGAACCTCCTCCATCTTCCACCGTCCGGAGCTATCCTTGCTCCACTCTACGCGTACAGTATTCAGACCCGTCAGTTTGCCATGCTCGCCAACCACGAAGTCTTTGGTGGAGATGCAGTACTCGCGAGGATCTAGAGACAACAGTCAGTAAAAGCCTCTTAAAAGCCAAAGCAAAGAAGGCATACCATTGCCGAAGTGAGCAGCTACTTCTGTGTGGCCATAGTCCGTGCGGAAGATGCGAGGCCATTGTGGCCATGGGTTATCACGGCCACGGGATGCAGGAGGCTTCGGCAGCAGCTCGAAGTTGGTGACCGATTTGGCACCGTGACGCATAGCAGTGCCAATACAATCGTTACCCGTATCACCGCCACCAATGACAATGACATCTTTGCCCTTGGCGTTGATGCACCTGCTGTCCTCCAAGTTGGAGTCAAGCAGGGATTGAGTATTGAGTTGCAAGTACTCCATGGCAAAGTGAATGCCATCAGCATCCCGGTTGGGGATCTTCAGGTCACGAGGCCATGTAGCACCAGTGCAAATAACAACAACATCATTCTCATCTTTGATCTTCTCGGCGCTCACGTTAACACCGACGTCGGCATTCGTGACGAAAGTGACACCCTCCGCTGCCATCAAATCTACTCTGCGCTGGACGATAGCTTTGTCAAGCTTCATGTTGGGGATACCGTACATAAGCAAACCACCAATGCGATCGTTGCGATCATATACGGTAACATGGTGCCCTGCTTTGTTCAGCTGGTCGGCACAGGCGAGCCCAGAGGGGCCAGAGCCAATAATAGCGATCTTCTTGCCTGTTCGGAAGTTCGGCGGGTTGGGTTCCATCCAGCCCATTTCGAAGCCTTTGTCAATGATAGCACACTCGATACTCTTGATTCCAACAGGCGTTTCGTTGATGCCCAAAACGCAAGCACCTTCGCAAGGAGCAGGACAAACACGGCCGGTGAATTCTGGGAAGTTGTTCGTCATTAGCAACCTGTTGAGAGCATCACGCCATTGCCCCTTAAAGACCAGGTCGTTCCACTTGGGGATGATGTTGGAGACCGGACACCCAGTATCAGATTGGCAGAAAGGAACACCGCAGTCCATGCAGCGAGCGGATTGGTATTTCAGCTCGTTTTCGTTCAACCGAACTGATAGCTCCTTCCAGTCCTTGACACGCCTACGAGGCGGACGATATGCCTCGCCAAGACGTTTGTACTTCATGAAGCCTCGGGTCTTATCAAGCTTGGCGACACGCTCCTTGGTAGTGGCTTCGTCGACCAAAGCATCCTCGAGATCCTGGACAGATGGTTCGTGTGGTTTGCGAGGCGGAGAGTAGGCAGGGAGATGCGCGGAGTTCAGGGCGTCAGCCAGGGACTCTTTGGGAACAAGGACGTCCTCAAGTGTTTCGGATGCAAGGTCAACCTGACTCGCGGTGTGAGAAGGAACAAGGTCAATCCAACTTTGCTTCTTCCTCTCTTCCTTGGCCTTTGCCTCCTGCTCGTCAAGCACGCGCTTGTAATCAAGCGGCATGACACGAACGAAAAGAGGAAGCAGATGGTGGAAGTCGGCAAGGACGCGGTCTGCAACCTCAGAACCAGTGTAGTGACGGTGGTCTTCAATAAGGCTGCGGAGCTGAGCAACCTCACGAGGATCCTTCACCTTCCCGAGTTCAACCATCTCCATATTGACTTTTGATGCGAAGGTATGCGCCATGTCTAGGACATAGGCGATACCTCCACTCATACCAGCAGCGAAGTTCCGGCCAGTGGTGCCAAGAACTACAACACGACCGCCTGTCATGTACTCGCAGCCATGGTCGCCGCAGCCCTCGACCACCGCATTCGCACCCGAGTTGCGCACCGCGAAACGTTCTGCTGCTACACCTCGGATGAACGCCTCGCCTGACGTAGCGCCATATAAGCATACGTTGCCGATAATGATGTTCTCCTCAGCCTTGAAGGTCGACTGTTTGGGTGGGTAAACAATAAGGCGTCCACCGGAAAGACCCTTTCCGACATAATCGTTTGAATCGCCCTCCAGCTCGATTGTGATACCAGGAGCAAGGAATGCACCACATGACTGCCCGGCGGAGCCTTTCATGTTGATGTGGATGGTATCCTTGGGCAGTCCCTCCTCACCGTACACCTTGGATACCCTGTACGACAGAGTAGTACCTAATGCACGATCGGTATTGACAACGTCGCAGTCAATCCGCACAGGAAGGCCGTTTGTGATGGCAGGTTCAGCCTCGTCAATGAATTTGTTGTCAAGCCGTACGTAGAGCTTGTGATCCTGTTGACGCACACGATAAGTCGCCGCACCGGGGCGCATTTGCCACGCTGGCTTGAGGATCGGCGAAAGATCCAGGTGTTTTGTCTTTGTCGTGCGAAGGGACTCGTCCACCTTTAGCATGTCCGAGCGACCCACCATCTCGTTGATAGTCCGGAATCCAAGTTTGGCCATGATACTGCGCAACTCCTCGGCAATGTAATAGAAAAAGTTGATGACCTGTTCAGGCTGACCAGCAAACTTGGCTCGTAGAGCTGGGTCTTGAGTGGCAATACCAACTGGACAAGTGTTCACTGCCGGGGTAAATCAGGCCTTAGTCAACAGGGATACTTATGTTCGACTCACAGTGACACTTCCGCATCATGATGCAACCCATGGCAATCAATGGCGTTGTGGCAAAGCCCCACTCCTCTGCACCTAGCAAGCAAGCAATAGCCACATCGCGACCGGTACGCAACTGGCCATCAGTCTGGACAGTTACACGCCCACGCAAGTCGTTGAGCACGAGGGTCTGGTGGGTCTCGGACAGACCCAGTTCCCAGGGAAGACCAGCATAGCGAATTCCAGTCCATCGAGAGGCACCAGTGCCACCATCATGGCCGGAAATAAGGATGTGGTCGGCCTTTGCCTTTGCGACACCAGATGCGACGATGCCGACGCCCACCTCGGAAACAAGCTTCACTGAAACACGTGCACGAGGGTTAGAACATTTCAGATCGTAAATGAGTTGCTTCAAATCCTCAATGGAATAGATGTCGTGGTGCGGAGGAGGAGAGATGAGACCGACACCGGCGGTCGAGTGACGCGTGCGCGCGATAGAGTTGGAAACCTTGTGGCCGGGCAGCTCACCACCCTCGCCGGGCTTCGCTCCTTGCGCCATCTTGATCTGGAGCTCATCGGAGTCAGCGAGGTAGTTCGAAGTGACACCGAAACGGCCGGAGGCGACCTGCTTGATCGCAGAACGCATCGTGTCACCATTGTGGAGCACCTGAGAGCGCTCTGCATCCTCTCCGCCCTCACCAGTGTTCGACTTTCCACCCAGGCGGTTCATCGCAACAGCAAGTGCAGAATGAGACTCCATTGAGATGGAGCCGTAGGACATGGCACCAGTAACGAAGCGACGGACGATCTCGTTCCACGGCTCCACCTGCTCGATCGGAATAGGTGTCGTCTTCTCGAACTTGAACTCCAGCATACCTCTCAGGGTGATGTTCTTAATCTGCTCACGCGCATTGCGAGAGTATGCATCGTAAGCACCCTGGTTCTTCTCGCGCACAGCGTCCTGCAGGTTGGCGATGCCAACAGGATCATTGACGTGGTTCTCGCCACCGTCGCGCCAGTGGTACTCGCCAGCCTCAGGCATACCAGGGGGAATAGTTGTCTCCCGCGTAGGCCAGCCCCGTTCGTGGTACTCGAAAGCATCCATCGCAAGAAGCTCGAAGGTCGCGCCCTGGACACGGCTAGCGGTACCAGTGAAGCAGCGGTCGACAACCTCGCTGTGGAGACCAAGCGCCTCGAAGATCTGTGCACCCTTGTATGACTGCAGTGTAGAGATACCCATCTTGGACATGACCTTGAGGATGCCGTTATCCGTAGCGTGGTGGTAGTTCTCAAGCAGCTGCTCCTTGGTCAAGTCGCCCTTGATCAACCCCTCGCGCGCCACCTTGTGAATGACCTCCATGATCTGGTACGGACAAATGGCATCTGCACCATATCCAACGAGGACGCAAAGATGATGAACCTCACGCGCCTCACCGGTTTCGATCATGAGAGCGACCTGTGCTCGCGTACGTGAGCGCACAAGGTGGTGGTGTACCGCACCACAAGCGATAAGTGCGGACAGCGGGACGCGATTTGGTCCGATCGCACGGTCGGAGAGGACGATGATCTTGTAGCCCTCTTCGATGGCCTTGGTCGCCTCTACACAGATGCGCTCGATAGCATGCTCGTAGCCGGGCAGGCCCTCAGACTTGGCGAAAGTGATGTCGATGGTTTGGGCGCGCCACTTAGGGTAGGCCTTGCTGATGTTCTTCATTGCGTTCATCTCCTCGATTGAGATGAGCGGGGAGGGGAGGAGGATACGGTGGCATTGTTCCTGGCGCATCTCAAGCAAGTTCCCTTCCGGGCCAACGTACGACTCGAGAGACATGACGATGCTCTCACGGATGGGGTCGATCGGCGGGTTGGTCACCTGGGCGAAAAGCTGCTTGAAATACTCGAAGAGGAGACGCGGCTGCGTGCCAATGCAGGCCAGCGATGCGTCGTTACCCATCGAGCCAAGGGCCTCCTTCCCATCAGCCAGCATGGGCAACATGAGGAGGTTGAGTTGTTCGACAGTATATCCAAATGCGAGCAACTTGGGGTCCGAACTGAGGGGGGTTTCATCAATGACAGGGTCGATCGACATTGTGCGCCGCACGCGCTTGAGAATATTGGGCACAAGGAGCATCTGGTTCTCGATCCAGCTGCCGAAGTTTTGCTTCTTGGCAGTCTTCATCTTAAGCTCCTTGTCATCGACGATGCGCCCCTCTTTGGTGTCAACGAGGAGCATGCGACCAGGCTTCAACCGACCCTTCTGGATGACCTTCTCGGGTTCGAGATAGACGGCGCCAACCTCAGAGGCGCATACCATAATGTCCTCGTTAGTAACGACATACCGGCAGGGACGAAGGCCATTACGATCGAGGTTGGCACCACAGTAGCGGCCATCGGAGAATGCGAAGAGAGCGGGACCATCCCATGGTTCCTGGAGACAAGCTGCCCAGTTGTAGAATGCCTTCTTTTCCGCCTCCATGAGGTCATTGTCCTGCCATGCCTCCGGAACGAGCATCATGATTGCCTCGGGGAGCGTGAGAGTGCCGTTGACGGTAAGTAATTCCAGAACATTATCGAATGCAGCGGAGTCAGAACCACCCTCTTCGATAATCGGGTACAGAAGATCGATCTGGTCCCCGAATAAGGGCGACTTGATCACACCCTCACGGGCGTGCATCCAATTCTTATTTCCACGTACCGTGTTGATCTCACCTGAATTTCACCCACATTTAGATTGAGATTGATGTGCATATGGGTTAGTAAGCGTACCATTGTGGGCTGCAAAGCGCATTGGTTGAGCGCGATCCCAGGAAGGGAAGGTGTTGGTCGAAAAGCGCGAATGGACGAGGGCGAAATGGGACTTGTAGAGGACATGGTTGAGGTCGTGATAGTAGTCGAATACCTGTGGCGGGGAAAATTGGCCCTTGTATACAATGTTCTTTGTGCTGAGCGAGCAGACATAGAACCAGTTTGCCAATTGACTGTATGTGCAGGAAAGGGAAAAGAAAAATGCTCAGAACATGCACACATAACGGGGAGGTAATGGTTAGCACTAACATCTCGTGAGTCGCATGCTTGCGCAGGATATACAATTGCCGCTCAAACGCCTTCTCGTCAAACGGGCCATTCGCACACGTCTTGCCCTCACCATAGTGCTCCTTGACGACGACGAAGGGTTGGAGGATAGCAGGCTCCTTAGACCCAGAGGCGGGGCCTAGGATGGTCCCGTCGGTAGGGACCTCACGCCAACCCAACACTCGCAACCCCAGCTCGTCAGAAAACTTCTCGAACACACCCTTCTGCTTCTCGCGCTCTTCCTCGTCGGACGGGTTGAGGAAGACGTTGCCGACTGCATACTGGCCTGGTTCAGGCAGTGTGCAACCGATGTCTCGCTCACCCTCGCGCTGGAAGAACTCGTGGGGAATACCAGTCATGACACCCGCGCCGTCGCCGTCGCGCGAGTCCGCACCGGTCGCACCTCTGTGTGTCATGGCGCACAGCAGTTGCCGCGCATCGGAAACGATCTTGTGGTTTGCTTGACCTTTGATGTGGCAGATGAAGCCGACACCACATGAGTCCTTCTCGTTGTCTGGATCATACAGACCCTGTTTGGCGGGTTGGGAGTTGCCCCATGACGAGACATCCCGCTCCACATCGTAGTAGCCACTCGTCGAGACGTCGACAGTCTCCTCGATGAGGGGAAGGTCGGCGATCTGTGCGCCCGACGCCCTCATTGTGCGCTGGAAGTCACTGACCAAATTTTACGGTGAACGGCGGGTGAGGTGAGTCAGAATATTGCTATGGAGCTGGTCGTTGGGAGGTCGCTGGTATGAACACTAGACGTGTGTACACAAGAGATAAACCAACAGGTAAATATCACCGTGAAGCAAGATGTGGAGGAGAGGGTAGGTGGACGTTAAGACGAAAGGGAATCCGCAGGTGAAGGGAAGGAGCCCAAGGGGAGGAAGTGAAGAGTGGGCGGGGAGGGCGGTATTGGTCTGCGCCGTCCGTTTATCTACTCAGTCTGTGATTGGTTCCCACTCATGTGGCGCATTCCGGGTCCATGTAAAACTTTGTTTCCTCCTTTTTCACCTTCTTCGAGTCAACCCTGGGGGACCCCGAAAGTACCTCCCAAACGGGTCACCCGGTTCTTCCCTGTCACGCACCCGTCGTCTTCCGTCCCTTTCATAGGTGTCGCCGCTCTCCACCTCTATAACAATGACATTCTCCACATCGAGTCTATTCGTTTGTCCTTTGCTACGCCCGGGCGCTCAGAATATAACTGCAACTAGGTGGAGGACCTAATTACCGGTCGCTCGTATGTATCCTAAGGGAGTAATAACCGTCATTCGTCCACACCTCTTCCTCATCAGCGCAGACTCGGATCATCCACTTCTTCAACTTCTTGCAAGCGGAGACAAAGCCCGAAAGTCCGAAGACCTGCTGTTCCTCCAGCGTCCTAGTCATCCGCAAAGCGACGCAGCAGAATATCCGCTGTTCCCAATAAGCCTACTTTGGCGGAACATGCAAAATAACTACTATTTCTTCTGTTAGCACCATATGGCGCGGGAGTCGAAAACTTTTCCAGTCCGATCGAGAGACATCCCCCCATACCCACCTCAGCAAACCATATACGTCAGGTTGTTGCTATCTCCGGTAGCTCGTCCGGTGGAGGACAGTCTCCTTCGTTGCAGACCGTCCACCAGTTTCGCCTTCTCCCGCCAGACCCCAGACATTGCAGCAGAGCCACCGAGGCTTAATCCACACGATCTGTCTCGGCAACTTCTGCCGTACTTCCCAGCATCTGAATGACTCAGGGTCCTCCCCCTTCTCATTCCCTGGCTGCCCCACACCGAACCACGGTCATAGCACGTGTTAATCTATTTTCCCTTTTTGGGGGACCATCCGGATGAGGCAGATAGAGTTTCTCTCTTCTGTGGCTGGAATTATTATGAGATTATAATAATACAGCTTATGGGCCACAGTCTACCAAATATTTGTTTTGCAGCGTTGAGCATCCTTTTGCCAAGACGGAAAGCACACTCGCTGTCACCCCAGGCACACAGATCTGAGTCATGCTATTTCCCTCGAAACTTCTCGGCCAGTGGGCCAAGCGGTTGCGCAATTAGCGGCCGACAAGTCACCGCCCTACAGTTCCCATAGGTTCATAGCAAATCACAGTCGTGACATGGTCTTCATGAATGGTCGGCATGGTAAGGGACTGAAATTTCCTTGAGAATATATATTACACATGCATCGTACAAAACCCTCTCCGTCCTGAACGCCCCATCCGGCAGCGTATGCCGGTCCCAGCGCAGCATTCAGCGCCCCCTCGGCGCCGGAATGCTCACATCGTTCAGACTGCAGCATACAACAGCCTTGTGATGTCCATTATACTGTCGGACCGTCTCCCCGCTGGCAACTTCCCACAAGCGCGCAACATGGTCTGAGCTCGCTGTTCGGATGTCAGCTCCATCTCTTCATGAAGAGCGGAAAGCAGGTGATTGAGGGAGGCGAATACGTACCGGTCACGAGATATGCAGAATCTGCACTGAAGGCAGCGTCCCATACCCAGCGCTGGTGTCCAGTGAGCGTCTTGGAATGCTTGAACTCGTAGTTTTCTCCAACGTCCCAGATCTTTACAGTTGAATCCGATGAGCAGGTCGCCAGGTACCTAGTCCATTGCAAGTGTCAGTGATTGCTACCAGGGGATCGGGAGAGCAGAGGAATAGAGAAAGGGGGTAGGACGCACTTGACATCGGGAGAGAGTAGGCACTTCGTCAAGTACTTCGAATGGGCGTCGAACTTCTTGACGGCAACATATCGGTCTCCAAGATCACGCTCGTCCCGAATCTTCCACACGTATATCCGACCCTGTCCAATCTGTTAGCTGCGAGGACTTTCGGACACGGCCGAAATGTAGCAGCCCGACGCACTTTCGTACTTCCAGCTACCAGGCATGTACCATCTGAAGCAAAATTCACGCTTCTGATCGGTACTGGGCCGGCGGGCGCCTATTATCATCAGCGTTTGACTTGATGAGCAGCAGTGATCAGCACACCAGCTCGTAAACGCAGGCATTCTCTGCCAAATCCCACTGCTTGATGGATCCACTTTGGTCGCAGGAGATAAGCTCGCCCTGATTTGGGTGGATATTTACGTCGTTCACTGGCCAGTGATCAATAGGGGCAACGTTCAAATGACAGGAGAGCCGTACCCGGGCTGGCGTTATCGTAGTTTCTCTGAGTATGTGCCGATCTGGAGGGAATATAAGAATGTGCATAGGGAAAATGCATGGATAGACGCACCGCATGTCCCATATCCTGATGGAGGAGTCTTCACTACCGGTCACTAGCCAATGACCTTCTCCTTGAAATGCGAGAGAGGTGACATTGTCTGTGTGTCCATCGAATGTTATATACTACTGATTGATGAGCAACAACTCAAATGTGGCACATCGTGTGTTCGCTTACTGGTGTTGTGGATGCGCTTGCAATCTCGTAAATGTGCACCTTTTTGTGCACGGCAGCGGCGACGAAGCGTTTACTATCGACTGGCGTCAAGGATCACCACACACTATGACTCAAGAAAACCCGCGTACTCTGGTGATATGCACAGTTTGTTTATTTGCTGATTCTGCTTTCAGACTATCGACAGATACGGTAATGGAGTCGTGCGTACGCCAACTCCCGGAATGGTCCTTGAGCAAATCCCACTCCACGCCTCCCAAAACCGGATCTCATGGTCATAGCTCCCCGTAACAAGGATGACAGATAAGTCCTGCTGGTACGTCTGCGCTTGGTGCTGGTGAGAACTCCCTCCTACATACGATGCTCGCGACCGCATCTTAGTGTCGATGGGCATAGCGCTTGGTGACCGGAGATGATAATGCTAGGGACGAAAGGGAGACGAGTAATTTCCTCCGATAGCACTTTTTCGGAGGCAGAGTCCCTAGAATGGACTGCCGGGCCCTATTTCCTCAAATCGGCCATGTGCCTGCCCTAAGCAACACCCTACGGTCCAATTAAGTAAGGTGGTGGTAACAGATCAACCCGTGTGCGAGGGTCCGGTCTGTCATTTCGTTCTAGTTCACACTACCGGAACTTTTCAAGGTGTTTTTCTTTTATAACTCATTTATATTACTTTTCTCTATATACTGTAGCTATATGCATGGCTATTATATATACTATTCTTTCCGCTTTACAGTGCGACGGCCAATGTAATGTTTTTGCGGCGGCGGGTTCACAGTATCATCGTGGTCATTTCCCACATGAGAAGCGGCACATAAGGCATACTGTATGAAAAGAAAAACACCGTGAAAAGTTCCGGTAGTGTTAACTACTAGAACGACATGACAGACCGGACCCTCACACACGGGTTGATCTGTTACCACCACCCTCCTTAATTGGACCGTAGGGTGTTGCTTAGGGCAGGCACATGGCCGATTTGAGGAAATAGGGCCCGGCAGTCCATTCTAGGGACTCTGCCTCCGAAAAAGTGCTATCGGAGGAAATTACTCAAAGGGAGATGGGTCAATTGATCCCGTGCGCCCAAGAATCAGACCTCACTCGGCGTGAGTCGGTGTTCTCGCTCCAACATCATCTTTACCAACCCGAACTGACGACCACAGCTGCCATACAGCGACTTCCGCGTGACGATTTACACTGCATAATCTGGGGTCATCCATATCTGATACCATTTTCGATTCTTCGTGGGGTTGCGACATCTTTGCCAAAATTAACATCGGGTTGCAGCATCACACCTTCACAGATCACCACTGCCTGAGGTCCTTCTTCGTCGCCGCTCTAGACAGTTTACGTCTTGTCCGGGCTGCTAGCGCCAGAACGTGTTATTCTTCGCATTGGACAGGACAACAATCTGGAAACGGTGGCCAGCTGACCTGGCCAAGCGCATATCGACACGTTCGCTCATTCCGCAAACTTATGGGTTGGCTTCTAGAATATCACGGGACGTACTCCAGATGACAGCCTCTGTGAAAGGGAAAACAGCGCGTTCATGCAGTCGTGTTCAGTCTTCTCTGTGCTCCATCTCTCTCTCCAGCGATCTTTGCCAAAGCCCATTTGATCTGTCAACATTGGACAGCTTCAATGAGGAGCTGCCAAGCCGACCTTTTGTCACGTTTGACTACAAACATCCGAGGACTTCATCGCGATGCTACGTCCATTCCGCTGCCTGATGCTAAAGAACTCTTCTGGCGTACTTGTCCATGTTGTTCTCATGAACAGTTGCGGCCGGGTCCGTGAACCTCGGGTGGGAGGGCTGCCCATCTCATGGGACTGATTCGACGTCTCATAGGGTTGCAGAGAAGTGATTAAAACCAGTCATTATTTCCTGCCACAAGAGCCGAGTACCTGATTCGTGGTCTTTCGTCTCCTTATGTTGGCTAAACCAGTGACTGCAGAGATTTAGTCAAAGCCGGGGATGGCGAGCCGTCCCCTTTGGGATCGATGGAGCTCATCAGTCCGCGGCATACCAACTCGACTTGGCATCTCAACTATTGAATGGATATTGCGAGATCTTGCGCAAGTTGATGCTGCTGCAAAGAGATAAAAGGGCGCACTTTTGCCCGTACACATTCATCTCATCCTCCAAAACCCCTCCAAACACTCACGAACAAACCGTTCTGACAATGTCTCAGCAAGCATTCGGAATCGACAAGGGCAACGCCTTCAACGATGCTCATCGTGAGTTTTTCATTGTCTTGTGCCAAGGATCCAGCTCACACCAGTAGTCGGAAATATCCAATCAATCCACCAGATCCGCCTCTATGAAGGTTGGTTGTTGGATGGCTTCGAAGTGACATATGTGCTGGAGAACGGCTCCACCCGGGTTGCCAACCATCTCGGAACGGCTACCCCTAATGCCATTGTCACCTTCGCTGGTTTGTGTTTTCTTTTGGAACTTCGGACTTCGCCCTGACAAAAATGGCATACAGATGATGAGGTGCTTGTGGCCCTCACCGGCAAGACCACCCTTCCCGGCTACTTCAACAACGATCGCTACCTGAACAGCGTCAGCTTCGTAATCCTCAATACCAAGACCGGCGGCGTTCGCGTCGCGGGTCCCTTCGGACAGGGAGGCCCGTCCGGGTCTTACACCGGGAGGGCGTTCAGCATCGCTGGAGAGATCAAGGCCTTCTCTGGACTGCAGTTGACTCAGTCGGGCAGCCCCTCCAATGCGCTTACCCTCACTTTCCCCTGTGACCAGGTCGTTACCGTCGGGCACTAAGCGAGCCCCGCTGGGCTGAACCTGTACTGCTGAGCCAAGGGGCACCGGACTAGTGCGCTTTGTACCCACAGAATCAATGTTTGTAACAGTCAAGAATGAATGACATCTGTGTTATATGCCATTGCCCTGAAAAAACCACCCCATCCCTGAGAATACTGTATCATACACCGCTTGAAGTACAAGACTACCGGCGCGCCCTTGCCTTCTTCAGTCTCGGCATGCCCGCTTCGACCTCGTCGTCATCCCTATCCAACTGTTCCCTCTTTCCCTCTCTCTGCCTCTTCCTCCCCCTCCCTCCCTGCGTTCTCTTTCCTTCCTGCTCCTTCATTTGAATCGTAGCTGCTCTCACGGCTTCCCCGACTCTCTCCCTCAACATCTCAACTTCCTCGCGGGTGGTCTCGCCATATGCTTCCAACTTTTTCCCAATTACATGCTCGATCCGCTGCAGCAGCTCGACGTCATATTGCGTCACAATGCTGATCGCTTTGCCCGCGCGACCTGCACGTGCCGTTCTCCCGACACGGTGGATATAATCCTTTGAGTTCGTCGGTAGGTCGTAATTGATGACTGCATCTACCTTCGGCATGTCCAATCCACGGCTTGCCACGTCGGTAGCAACCAATATTGCTCCCGGCTCCGCTTTGAATCGGCTGATAGCTCCGAGCCGCTTGTCCTGAGAGATGTCACCATGTAGGGGGATGGCAGGGAATCCCAGATTGCGAAGGGCCAAGGTCAGTTTCGTTGCGTCATGAATCGTGCGAACGAAGACGATGGTACTGAGACCAGAGACGGTGGTGAGAAGATGTACTAGTTGGGGCTCTTTGACAGCAGCCGGAGTAAGGACGTAAGTTTGCAGTAGGGTGGAAACAGTTTGATACCTGTTTTCAGGGTTAGTCCATGCCTGCACCACAGCCTTTCATGGGCAACATACTTAGATGACACCTCGACCTTCACCGGGTTTCTCAAGCTCGTCCTTTGTAGCTTTGCCACTTTTGTTGTCATAGTCGCCGAAAAGAGCATGGTATTCCTTTGCCTGGGAATAGCCTTAAGTAAGGTATCGATAATCGGCCCAAAGTCCAAGTCTAGGAGTCGGTCCGCCTCGTCCATCACCAGGTACTTCAACCCTCTCAGTGAGAATCCTTTGGTATTTTCAAGGTGATCTTGTAGACGTCCGGGAGTAGCGACGACAATATGCGGCCGTTTCGAGAGGGCGACAGCTTGAGGGACCATCTTGACGCCACCAATAAGTACAGCACAGCGTACACCAATTGTGCTACCCAGTGCTTCGAATTGTTGTGAAATTTGATACGCAAGTTCTCTGTCTCTCGTCTTAGCATATGATAGGCTCGTAAGAGAGAAGTGGACACACCGAGTTGGTGCAAGGACAACACAAAAGAAGGGCTTTGGATCATGCCATAGCTTCTGTAGTATAGGCAAGGCAAACGCAGCTGTCTTTCCACTTCCCGTTTCTGCCAGACCTATAATGTCCTTCCCTTCTAATGCCGGGGGTATTGCGGCAGCCTGAATAGGTGTTGGGCGCTTGAAGTTAAGCTGCTTGCACGCGTCGACCAATGGCTCTATGAGACCGAGCGAAGAGAAAGTGACATTGGGATCAGCAACAGGTGCAATAGTTGCAGAATCGGCTTGCGCATCAGCGGTACCATTTTGTGAAGTTACGGGAGACGGTGCGCGAGAAGAGGATGCTTCAGAAGACGACATGGTGAGGGACAAAATATGGTGATGAAGGCAGGGGCCAGTGTGAGGAAGAAATTAACTATTAACTATACTGAAGCAAATATGAAGAAGCACGGAGCCAATGCCATGTGTGAAAATGCACATGGCTGCCATGCGAAAATGCCAGCATGGGACCGGGGGTTTTCAACTTGCGTGCTTTCCGCACACAGATCAACCCTGGCGGAAGGAAAATATCAGTTCCTGAGAACCCTTAAGGACATATCACATTCCAGCTCCGACTTGCCCACGTCATGAAGTCGTGAACCCAACTAAGCAAACACTTTCAACAACACTTCTTTACAAAATTTATGCAAATCCTCCATGACAATACTCCTGAAAGTCCTTTCCATGCTTCAGTAAAATATGAATAAAATTAGAGGGTGAAGGTGCTAGATTTTGATCCTCTTAGCGCTCAGGGCGTTTCCAGTGGCTGTGCACTTGCGATTTTGCAGTTCTCCATCAAATTTAATGCAATTATTACACTTCAAATTTTGGGGAAATGCAACAGTAGTACATATGAAAAGCACTTCTCCCTTATGCAAGCTATGTTGTGTTTGTTTGAGGAATAAATTTAATATTGTTGTCGCGCTTGTGGCTGTGCACTCCGCGTCCAAATCCTGACGCGGTAAGTGCAACATGCCTCCGGGAAGAATTTGCTTCCTAACTGTGTGCGGAAAGTCAAGACTGGGGTTTTCAAGCCCTGCTCCCACAGCCCCTGGAGCTTTTGCTGCTTGATCTCATAGCCACCACTAGAAATGGACACGTCTGTTTCTACCAGTGGCTGTAACGTGTTTGTGTCACTGCCACTTCCTCCCAAGAGCGGCTGTGCACTGAACCCTTTTCACTTACATCAGCAGAGTAGGGTTACCTCGGCCCTAACCCTTTTTCACCTTCAACCCCAACCCTGAGAAACCTTTTTTTGCTGTTCAAGTGGCTGAGGCCAGTGGCATATTATTATGTTGGTTTATTCTCTCAAATATTATCAAATGTGCTAATCTGTGATCTTCCATTAGGCCTGATCCCACCACACCTCATTCTCATCAAAGGAGTGAGGAACATGCAAGACAGGAACAATAACTCACATCACCTGCCAATTGACAGTGATGTGCCCCTCAATCAGATCAAACACCAATACCCCAGCCTGTGTTTAATCTTCCAGCCTCTGTTCTTGCACCAGAGCAACCTCCAGAAGCTTACTAATGACCTGGAACACAAGAAGATGCTGCTCAAAATCTCTATCTTGATGATTTGGTTGCACATGCAAGAGCCATTGTTGGAGAGGGCCCTTTGCCTATTGTGCTCTCTCACCAAGAGCAACTTGCAAGAAGAGCTGCAGAGAGACAACAACCCAAAAGAAATGTGAACCAACCCCCAGTTGCTGTCTCACACCAGGAGCAACACCTTGCAAGGCAAGAAGCAGAAAGGGTAGATGCTCACTTGGCAAGGTTACTGCCCTATGCAATGATGCCCATACTGCAGTCCATCATCACCTTCAGCAAGCCGCACAAACAGCAACAGCAGGTCTTGCTCAGCTTCACCTTGACCATGATGCAGTATTTGGCCCAGCACATCCAGCACCTAGACTTCAAGAGGATGAAGATGCTACCAGAGTTGAAGAGCTAGAAGAAGAAGCTGCAGAAGCTTTGGGGGCTATTCAGACACAGCATGCCTGTGTTAGGGCAACACAGGCTGACTAAGTCTGCTCACCTAAGAGTGCCAAGAGTCTAAGCAGGCAACAAGGAAGTGGAGTAGACCTGATGACTAAGACCTATCTACAGTATAGGTATCTGTGGATGATCCTAAGAGACCAAGTCTGAAGAGACAGTCCCGGGCAGAGTA